AAACGTGCTTATATTAGAAACCTTCTCCTCTGCACAACAGAAGGCTCAGTGCAACTCACTGCTGTGACCCCTGCACACCAAACTGCAAATCCTAACAAATCCTAACAGATCAACAGGCACCCAACACCGATGGGAAATGCAATACAGCAGTACAGGCAGGCAACATAAGTGATGGCTTCCACTGCTGAAGGTCTGAGGAGGAAGTGTTACCTACTGTATCTTATTTTTTTTTTAAAGACGTAACAGAAATATGCTCAAGAAATCAGGCTCATTTAAAGCACACTGAAAACAGGACCTATTAGTGATACTGATTTCTGATTATTTCATCTGTGTTATGTGTAGTGAAGTTTACATACAATCAAACAGGAAAATATACACACATGTTCTTCTTGAGTTATTTTCGAAAGTGACCACCAGGAAAACAAATTGAGTCAAGATAGTGAAAAGATCACCTCTTCCCAGGCAGGAAGGATTTTCTCTGCAGGGTTTGTGTACTGAAAGAGTGGTTCAAAGATTTCTGCAGGGGCTTGGAGTTGCCAACACATTTGCACATTTAGTCTTTATCTCCCACATCCCTTGTGGATTTCCAACTTGAGCAATCAGTGAGCTTGAATGATAAATAGAGTTGGCTGGAACAAGACAAGCCTGTCACAGAGAGCGAGCAGGGAAAACAACTAATTTATTACAGTTCAAATTACACAGATTCTTCAGCTGAGGTTATCAATGTCTGTTTTACCTCCTCCACCTCCTAACAGATCACTGCTTCTTTCCACTGAAACGTTGCTCCTGCCCACCGAAAATAAATCAGTGCTGTTTAATTTGGAGCTGGCCCATCGGAGCAGGGAGTGAGGAGATGGATGGTCTGTGCCAGGCAAAAAGTCACAGCCCCACCTATGCCTGGGAAGGTGTTCGGCAGGCAGGGAACGGGGCTGGCTGTGAGCGCCGAGTCCGGCTGCTTGCCTTGCACTGCCCTCTGCTGTCACAGCAGCAGCTCTGCCTGCAGAGAAACCGGGAGAGCGCTATCCAAACCGACGAAAACACGAATGCGCTTTTAATCTGACCTGAAGAGCGAAAGGGAGTAGATCGAAGTGTTTCCCCATTGGACTTCTCCTAGACAAAGCATGTCATCTGGCTCGTTCTTATCCACCTGCCTGTATGCACTTACGATTAAAGTAATAAACTTCATTCTTGTCTTTTTCTGTCAGTAGAGCTCCAGGTGCTTTACTGGGAAATTGCACACTATTAGACTTCGTTATTTACCCTACAGACACTGACTAAAACATGTTTGCTAAGGCCTGAGCAAGTGGTACTCAGCTTAGAGCATTTACAGTAACAGCTGAAAAGCCCCTCTGTAACATTTATCCTGTGGTCATTAGTGTATTTCTAACCCCCCTCCTCAAATTTCTTAGTTCCTATTCTAGCACATTCTAGGATATGACTGAAGAAAACACACAAAACAGAGGTGATGTAGTGTTCTGTGTCAGCAATGTAAGAAATGTAATATAGCACTGACAATTACCTCCATCACCCTTTTTCTCCTTTAAAAGAAATAAATTTGTATGCAATCAGACAATATTACATTACAGAATAGTAACTCTCAAAGATAATACCTTGAGAAAATTAACACCCTCAAAGCAGCTCAAAAAAGTGTTATTAGAAACACATTTTAAAGGAAGTACATATTTTTCATGCATAAATACAAACTACAAATACACAGTATTTTTTCAGTGCCCTGAATGTCTCAGAAATGCCACACACAGAGCTTTCAACAGCTGTTAATATAATGCACACACAGAGACCTTAACTAATTCTTTTGAAGTCAGAAATTGAATGCCAGCATAAAAAGCACAGGAGAATTATTAGCAGAGAGCTTGTGTATCATTAGGCTTCCCTGCATGGTAATGCCAAGCCTGCAACAGCTTATAAGCATATGGTTTGAACATCAGAGTTTCTAGAAACATAAGTTCAAATCCTGGCAGATCAGCTCAGTCTGACAACCTTCTGCTGTGTGTCTTGAAGCAATAACTGCTTCCCTACCCCTGTGTGATATAAAGCATCTCGCTCTCCACTCTGGTACAGGAAAACAACACAGCTACAGCCCACAGAAATTGGAGAGCAGAACTTGAGAGAGTTATAAACCCGGACTGAGCTCAGAGTTGCCTGAGCAGTCTGAGTGACACGGAATCACTCGGTCAAAGGTGAGGGGAATTAAAAGGAGAAGTATCCCACAAATCCAATTTGTTTGTATAAATGTGATGTAGATCTTAAGGATTCTCCCAGAAGATGGGGACACAGGTTCCTACCACCCCACAAGACTGCCAGTGTACTGTCTGGGATACGGATTTCCATAAGAAATTCCTTACAGGGCTTCAGAGAACTTGTCCACTGTGCTGCATGTAAATCACATAGTGTAGTGGTTGGAGAAACCATTCCCTCTCATTTACACTTAATGAATTCCTGCAAATAACTGCTGTAGAATCCTTTTAAGGTGGAAATTCGCTGGATCTTGTAGTAATAAAATAGCCTCAACAAGGTCCACAAAAGTTGCATGCAAGGGATTACTTACAACATTTTATTTAAAAGACTCCTGAACAGGCAAATGCAGGAAGATTAATATAATGTTCAAGAAAATAAGGGAGGATTCATTTCCCCAGGGAATTGTTTTCATGCTGTCAGCATAGAATCTTGCAAGTCTTGACTTTGCTAACACTGGTATTATACTCATTTTATACATGAGGAAACTAAAGCAGAGAGATTAAAGGTAGCATGGGATAATTACTACAGTTTGTCATACTGAGTAGCAATTAAAATGGAGTAAAGAATTGTGGAAATAATAGTTGGACTTTTATATTATTAAGCATTGAAATGTATCAAACCAGATGGTCCAAGCCTTTAAAGGCTCATAGGTTTTATATACATACACTTGTGATATAGCTGAATTAGTGGTATTTACCATACCTAGGCTGATCACTGTGTACACAAAAGGTGTTCTACACTGTTGAACACAGGGAGATGAGAGAAATTTAGACAGGCTTATTTTCAAGGGTGCCTCTCTCTAACTGTAGCACCCAAGACAACAATGTTATCAGGTCTCTTCAGAATAAAATACAAGTAATTGTTTTGACTGGAGAGCTGTTGAGAACCACATTCCGTAAGAATGCGAAGCTCCACTGAAATCTAAATGTTTCTTGCAAACTGCCACATTTCTATGGAATTTTCTGGGAAAAAAAATTATAAGAACACGTAAAGTAACTGTTGGAGTGTCCCATGTCTACAACTGTTTTTGAATGCCTGCCATCTTGAACTATTTCAGGGGCTTTGCACTGTAATGGGCTTTAAAAGCCTACCTCTGTCATTAAACGCTCTCAGTAATTGAAGGGATTCTCAGAGGCTGTCATGGTGGAAGTATTTTAAACAGCTTAGAAGTTTTCAGATTGTGCTCTGCTTTGGCATAACCAAATTCAAAATCATTCTTAAAACAGAGTTTCTGGTCAACTATTTCTCCCTTCAGCATCTTACTAAGAACTCCCACTGTATTCAGTGAGGACTTGGAGCAAGCATGTATTGTACTAGACCAGAGGGCTCTTACTGCCTGTGGTTTCAGAGAAAACAACCCTTTGAGCTTTCAGATTGAGTGATTAGCACTAAATACTTGAGTAACTCATTTTCAGAGATGTAGCATTTATGTTTAGTACCCTCTGCTAGAAGCCAATTCTTGCTTGAAACAGCAGCTAATATCCATAACCCAGAGAAAGCAGAACTGCATAAATCTGGTTGATGCTACTCGTGCTTCAATATTAACTTGCCTTGCGGTTCAGCTGCCTTCAATTGTGCTCATAAAACCCCCAAACACTTCTATAGAAGGAAAGGTGCCCAGGGTGTGGATTCTGGCTTGCAAAAGAAAGGAAACATCTGAAATTTCTCACCTTCTATCACTTTCTCCTCACATCTAATAGTCTGCCCAGTGGCAAAAATGCAGGTCTGCTCCAGGGTCAGGAGACCACTCCTCTCAGTCCTGTCAGCAGAAGATGGCTCACCACTGCCAGGAAGCCTTTTCCTCTGGATAAGAGAGTGCAGGGAAGACAGGGAAGCTGCCAATTACAGCTTTTAGGGACATTGTTACAGTGATGTCTAATCCCATCAGTGTGATCATGTAAATACAGTCTTGTCCACCAAGTAACAGAGAGCACACCTATCCAGCAGAACAAGGCAGGAGGATCTAAAGTATCTACCTACCTTTTGGGGCCTCAGTTGAGGAAAGTACCTAAAACATGTTTGGGCTTGGAAACCCTATGCAGGAGTTCTCCCCACTCCCAAAACCCAAGAAAATTTTCAAAAGTCATCTTGAAGCTCAAAATAATACCTCAGGTTAAGGATTACAAGTGTCAGCCTGCATCATATTTAAAATATTCTTACTTTAAACTACAGGATTATCCTCCCTTTATGAACCCCCAAATTTTGATTGTAATTTCAAAACTTGAGCTTCCATCCCCTGAAACTTGCCTGATTAATTAACAGAGCAGATTTCCTTTCATCTCAAGAAGAGTAATCCATTCAAACCATGGGCAGAATATGGACAGACAATTAGGAGCTTACATGTATGCATAAATTGTAGTGATTTGGACTTGTGTGGGGAAATATCATTCTCAAAGTAACCTCTTATGATATTCATTTTAACTAGTTAATTACATAAAAGAACTATTAAATACTCTTCTCAACTGTGCAGTACAGGTGACATAACATACTTCAAGAACTAGCCACATCAGTCCATGCTCGTCTGGAATCAACACATTAAAAATGTCTAGTCTTTTTTTTCTCTTTTTCTTTTGTCTTTAATAAAAAGTCTCATGCTAAAACCCACAAAGTCTGTGGGAGAAGGACAATTCCATGAAAAAAACACTGTAAGCATAAGCATGATCTCCTTCTCTCCCCAAATTTTCTGTCTACATTCTGAGCAATGACTTAAAATAACATACAAGTGAAGAGTCAGGAGAAAGAGATACTTATTAGAATTATGACTTTTATTTTTATTCACTAGAGCAACATTGAGGAAAGAATTTTTACATACAGGTTTTTGAATCAACTTTACAAGCAAATTCCAATATACAGTATTTACTCTGGCCTGGGTTAAAAAACCAAAAACAAAGCAGATAGTAAGAGTACCTCTTGTTTTAGCTATTATTGAGTTTAAGATTTGGTTACACTGGAATTATATTCGTTTTACAGTGGTGCTTTTACAATTAAGTAGGCAGTGAGCAGCTTTACCACAACAGTGACTGATTTTCCTTGATAGCATTGTTGTAAGATGACTATACTGAGACCTACCCCCAGGATCATGTATTAAATCCACTCTGCTCAGAAAAAGCCTCTGTAACGAGATAAGAAATAGCTACGGAAGCCCAATTCAAGAACTGATTTCCATTTGTACAGCAAGAAAACGTCCATATTAAGAGGATTATGTGCTGTGCAAAACCAGAAAACACTTCCCCCCCAACATGCAACCTACCCAAGTATGACACTTTAGAATGTGCATATGGTTGTGACATGCAGACAAAGGAAATCACGCAAATGGTACTCAGCTTTCCAGCATCATTACAACAAATTGGCATTTAGATAAAGGATGAAATGAAGTTTACTGATCAATGATGCAGTCTACTTGCTATGTCCAGTCTCACTGCTACAAGACGTAAAGTTGAGGAACCTGCTTTTTTTGGAACTGTATCGAAATTCAGTGTTGTTTTGGATTTTCAGGGCCTTTGTGATTATTTGGAGAAAGTCTGAGATAATATTGCACTTCTTTTCTCAAACAAAAACGTGCTGGGGCCATTGTTCTTTCAGAGCTATGCTAGTCCTAGGGAATTTTAGCCATGGGCTTTGATTGGCAGCAGGAAGTGCTGGCTTCAGGGAAGGGGAAGGTAATAATAATAATCTGGCTGCATCTTCAGTGTTAAAATTCCACACTTAAATTAAAGTCATTGCACAACAAAAACTCAGTACACTATATGAATATTTTTTAACATGCTAGAACGTGTATCGATTCTGTGAAAGTGATGTGAAAATACCTTGGAAACAGCAACACTACCGGGGAAATTGGTTTCAAACAAAAGCCACACACAGCAGGAGGCATCTAGATTATTTTAGGCACAACTCCAAGCAATAAAGCTCATTTAAAGTGCAATTCTGTTCTTTTCTTTTGTGTTTATTCACTTGTTAAAATGCGTAATTGCCTCTGTATACACATACTGAACAGTAGTTTAATACTTTTGTGAATATTGCACAAAAGAATGAGAAATCAAAAACAAAGAAAAATGGCAATACATCAGTTTCATAAACCTAAAAAAAACCCCTGAAGATATCGAACACTTAAATTTATGCCTTTTGGATAACTGCACCAGTACTGATGATATATCTGCACCTTCCATAAGGTAGATACGGTACCTGAAAATGCTTAATCCCGTCTGACAAGCTCTACTCAGCACCCTCTCACCCATTGCCCCCCAAACCCTGTCCTGCACCCAAGTGAAGCTCCAAACTTCACTTCGCCACTACTCTTTCAGCTACCCATCTCCCGACAGGCTTTGCTCATACTCCGGACTTACTATACATGCAACAGAGCCTTCCCTGGGAAAGTCTGAAGAGCCAAAACATGGAGTTGTCTTTAGAGGGATGCGAGGTTAGCAGCTGAACACAAATACAATTCAGGCTAGCATCTGTCTCATCCATGAGCAAATCCTGCTGTCTCCAGCTCATCATCTCACTAATCTGTCAGAACAAAATGAGGAAATGCTATAAAAAAACCCACTAGAGTCTACTTATGTTCCTTTAACATAGACCCCCCACCCTTGTATAAATATAACCTTTTTCTTCTGGAAAGAAAAACTAGGAACTATCTTTTTTATGAAAACCTTGATCATCTCAATTTTCTTTGCTTAATTTGCTTTGATCATCTCTCTCCTTAATTTTCAGTAAAGGTGCAGATAGATATCTCTACTTTTAATGTAAACATAAAAATTTTAACATCACTAGATCAGGCTGGTGATACCTCCAGAATAAGATGCAAAAGAATTCAGGATGAAATATCTCTGCCAATACCGTTAAATGAAAATCATATTTTTACACAAAATCATATACACGTAACAGTAAAATCAGGTTCTCTTCAAGAAAAGTAAACTTAAAAAAACCCCCACCTTCCATAGAAATCTATATGGACCAGAAAACAAACCAGGAATCTGATCATTCCCTCAGCAGTCTTTAAACTCCTGAGAAACACAGTTAGCTGCCAGGAGCTAGTTTTGGGGAATATAAGTCAGTTTTATTTTCTTATTGGAAGTAAATACTTACACTAAAGGACATCCAGTTCAATGCTTTTCAAGGAAATAAATTATTCCAGGAGAATAATTGTTACTGCAATCTCAAGCTGTAGTTATTTTGATCCTATACCAACTGTAACAATGTTACCCTTGTTATGTCTTGCTTACGTTGTCTTCGCCACAGTTCCCAGAAGGTCCTGCAGGTCCCTTATTTCAGATTGATATAAGTAGTTCTGAAATGGAACTTCCCCCCTATCCATTTTCCCCCCAGCCTTTTAATTTTTCCACTTCATTGTCAGTTAAAAAAAAAATTAGTGTGACAAATCCAAAAACCTTCTTGAATATTAACTATGCACTGAAAACTCAGACGATATGAGTGTTTTTTTCCTTCACCCAACTGAGGTTTCCATCAGGATACCCCTGGTTAAAGGGCTTATATTATAGAAGCTGATCACTGAACTTATTTATGAAATGTCTACACCTATTCACTTTAATTCTCTCGAAGAAAATATTGTAATATGTCAATGTCCTCGAGGCAAAGCCTAGAACAAACTAAAGCTAAGTTGCATTTTACTGACATTGTGTGCTCTTCAGTAACAGATTTTGAGCCAAGTTGTTGCAACAGCCTTCTGTTGCTGATTTTAAAACCAACTCAAGGACAGAAAAAAACACCCCACCCAACCAGTAACATCAAAGAGAGTTATGGGAAAGAAGGGAAGAATTGGAGATGGGACATAACATCAAATTTCTGGAAAGCTTCACTGGATATGTATACGTTTAACTCACATGACATGTCATGGTCCCATATTGCACCATGATGGGCATATATTTCCAGACTACTTTCAGAAAAAATACTTCTCCTATAGAGCACAAAAATGTTGATTTTTTTTTTGCTTTATTTCCCCAAAAAGCTCCTTCCCAGTTATCATGCACTTCTTCAGAAATTACCAAAAAAAAAAAAAATTACAAAAACCCAAAACCAAAATACACATCTCTGAAAAACTCTTAAGAGTACCAGCTCTGGATAAGGACATAATAGGATTGCTCAAAGCAAATAAGTGGGGTTAATTAATTTTTTTTCCTTTCTTAAAAATAGTTACATTTTTAATACAAGTTTTATTCAGTAAAATAGTTTCAAATTCTTACACATATGGCAAAGTTTGTGCAAAATTTCAAGTCAGGTACTTCAGAGCCTTTCGATATTAAACAGAACTCAATAAATACAAGTAATACAATAAAAGTTTAAAATATTAATTAAAATGCATGTTGTGCAACCTCAACATAGGTGTTATGGACCCCATATTCCCAGAGGCTCCCTACTTATCAATTCATAAGAGCCTGCATTGGAAGGTTTTGCACAAGCATCCTTTGCACTGCGTTTCAAGAATCTACCCGGCAATGTGTCCATTCAACACAATAAAAACATACCACAATCGTTTAACAAATGATGATGTTTAAGCGAGAAGACTCGTTTCACCCTGTGAAATCTGCTTAATGTCAGTGAACAGTGAAAATGGGATAAATAAAGAACAGAGTAACTTCAGATTACAGCAAAACGAAAACAACACAACCCACCCAACCCATCAGATTAAATAACATTAAATATGTCAGTCTTGAGATAATGATAAATACAAGGATTTTTGCATAGGCCTCTGGAATACAGAGTCAGAATTATGGCCAATAAAACATCTGCTAGTAAGTCTAACTTTCCACCACTCTGACCTAATGAGTACTCAGAACCAAGAAGTTAAACAGAACAGCAATTTCATTGTCTAATAACTCAAAGAAACAGAGGTAAGAAATAACTTCTGCCATCCTGAAATAGGTAGTGCAGCATTCTGGCATTTGTGGTCACCACAGACTTCAGTGTTTGCTTAATTACTAAGATGGCAATACAATCTTTATTACAGACCTACGATAAGATAGAACACTCTCGAGAGAAACTGCACAGCTCACAACATCAGCCTCAGAACATCGCAGGGTGGAGTGTGCAAACCCTAAAAAGAAGCTGCTGTTTTGAACATGGATTCAGGATTTGCAGGCTGTGGGTCCGGCAGGCTCGAAGGCAGTCACGACACAGGAAGTGGTTTGTTGTGTGGCATCGTTGGGTGAGATGTAGGTACATCCTCAATGTGTCTTTGGTTTAGGGAGGCGGGAATGCCGGTTGGAGGGCACGCTGTCCCCAGAATGCAAACTGGTGGGGTGTGTTTGCACGTTTTCCTTTCTCTGTACCAGTGGCTTTGGGATGTTAGACTTCAAAGAGGTGTTCTGAGGCTCTGGAGATACTGGTGTGGATTTCTGACTGCTCACTTGCTTAGCTCTAACAAAGGACATAGTTGGTGGGCGAAGTTTAGACACTTTCTGACTCTGTTTACCCTTTAGGTTATCCTGACCAGATGTTGGCTGTAGCTGAGTTGAACTACTTCGTGGTAGAAGCTCACGTTCCTTGGAAGCAGCGGAATGATTTGCAGATCGTATGAGAACGGCCATTGTAGGAGGCACTAAAGCATTTGGGGGCTTTGCGATTCTTAAAGTCTTTGGCCGAGAAGCCTGGTTTGTGAACGAGGGCTGACCTTTCACAGGTAGTTCAGTCTGCACCTCTCCGGCATCAGCTCGTGTAGAGGTCTGAAAACAGGAACGAGATAGCAATGTACCTTCTTTATTACTCACCACCTCTCCAGGGTTTTCAGTGTTTTTGTTTTTCAAATTGTCCAAATATGATGCATTTTCATCTTTTATGTTTAACTGTAGGCTCGTTAAAGAGTTTACATCATTCAGGCTATTTGTGAGAGAGACATTTGCAGCATTTGGATTCTGATGATTGCTACTTTCATGCAGATCATGTTTAGGATATTCACTGTGGGCCTCGATATGTGGCATTTTTACTAGTTTTCCCTGGGCGAGGTCTGTGGAACTGGGAAGGCTGCTGGAAGGCTGTAGTACTTGAGGCTGTTGAAGAGAAAATAATACAAGAATATATTAGGCCAAGAAGACACCAAATAACATTCTGAACCCAACGTGCGCTGACTGGATGCTTGATAAGGGCTGTACATCTGGTTTTTTAAATCAAAACTTTGACTTCGGCAAAACAGGATGGTTCTTGGGACGCATACAAATGGGACTGGTAACTTAAGGGGAAAAAATATACCAGCCCTGAAATAAACAACAACATAAAAGACAAAAAAGAAACCAATAAGCTTAAAAAGGAAACATGAAAAGATATGGTTGATGGTTTCACCTAAATCTGCAGGACAGATCGCTGGTGCCGATCAATTCTCACTGGAGTGCTCAAACCAACACCATGGCTATCAGGCTGGATCCATCTTTTAATTCCTATTCAGGGCATACTGAAGTTAACTATCCCAACCCTTTTACTGCACAGGCAGGAAAGGTGTTTAATGGACCACATGAATTTATAAGGCACTTTTCTTGCCTTACTGAGGCCAGAAAATTTGATGCAACTGTATGGTAATCAGGCTACTGACCAGGCTTAGGGAACTGTTTTATCTTGAATTGATTCCAAATGGGCTGATAAAGGAACAGAGTACATGTGAAACTAGAGATCACATACTACTACACTGATAACCAAGGGATAAAGATAACTGAAGTTTTTACATTTGATCAGATGATACAATCTGATCAGACACGCGTCAGACAAGAGAACTGCCGGTACCTCTTCTGGGTCATTTTTATTCTCTTTGCTCTTCCCTGTAAAAAGGCTTAAAAGATTAATGTGTGCACTAACTTCACAGTCACATCCTAGACCTGAAACTTGGATACAGATCTTGGAAGCATTATTAAAACTTCTGCAGTTCATGGCAAACCCCAAAACCTATTAAAACTGAAACTACATTTTAAGCAGATTTGGATGATCTTCTCATTTTCTTTAAAAGGAGGGGAACAGAACTGCTACAAATTGTCATTACTCAACTACTTGAATTCTTAGCAATTGACAGATTGCATGTACACAGCAAACAGGCTTATTCTGGTTGTTTACTAGAGAAATACAGTCAACAAAAAAGAAGCAATGTTTGTGTTTGAGAGATTTGACTAAGTGTCACTTCAGTCACTTTCCTGAATTGTTCACAACTTCCAAATGAGAAAACCAATTATTTGTCTGGTCTTTTTAGCTCTTCTTAGAATCAGCAGGAGGAATGCAAAGACAGCTGTGCATGCCAGACTCCTGTTACATTTCTAGGGTCATAATATGTCTCAGGATTCTTTAACTTTTTATCTTTTCCCTGGCAGGATCACTACTGACAACTGAATCCTCAAAATTCCTCATCAAAAAAATTTTAATGGCAATGTGAGAAAAATCAAGGTTTCTCAATCTATTTTTTATTTATTCAAAGTTTTTCCCTTTAGAATATACTGGTTCTACCTGTAAGTGAAGGCAAAATCTAAGCTAAACCAGTGACAGGCACATAAGTGCAAATATCCTGGACTGTCTGAACACAATTGTTTTGGAAACATAGAGAAGATTTAAAAAAAAAAAAAAAAAGAAGCAAAGAAGCCTCCAAAATGGTGTCAAATGAGTACCAAAACATTATTCCTTACATGACCCAAAACTAGCTTAGCTTTATGAATCCTTCTTAACCATGTGATCCTAAATGAGCGAAGTATTAAACACAAGGAATAATTCAGTATATTGAGTTGCAGCTTAAATAAAATTAATCCTCCTGATATTTTTGTCATTTTCCAGTGTTTATATAATGGGTTACAGGAGTTATTATGCTTCCACCCTAGGAGCTAACAGGCAGATGTTAGCCAAAATTATTTACTGATTTGAGATCTCATTGTAAAAACAAAACTGCTAATAATGAGCACAGAAACCAAAGGAATATATACCTGATTCCCATACAAATATGTCAACAAATAAATCAAATTTTCTAATCCTACTTGAAGTAAAAAAATAAAACACTTATAGCAAACACATAAGTGTCAAATATGGAAATATAATTGTCAGAAACCCTTTTCCCCTCACCTAGAAAGGGTTTTGAAATGCCAGTCTTCAAAAACACAGACAAATATCTAATCTGAGCATTACAAACCCTAATTTTATATCAAATAATCCTAGTTATACTGATCAACAAAATGAAAGATTGTGTAAGTTACAGAAGAAACTAAATTTGTATGGAAAGCTGAGTTAAACACAAACACATCTGAAATAGAACAAAGCAGCAAGCTTTCAATAATGCTATTTCGAGTTCTTTTGACAAAGACTAAGTAGTATTTGAGCTTTTCTCTTTGGGCAACTTTGCATTTTACATATAAAAATAGCCAAATATATGTTTTACTCGTTATCCCTCATAACCTAAAAAAGTCTAAGCAGCTTAATATGCAGAAAGTTAGCAATCCAAAGGTGGAAAACAGCTACATGCTCTGAATTATGACACTAAAGCTCTGGTTTCATCTTTGTGAAGTTGTTTTAGAAACACTTGTTTTTTAATTTTGTATTTCTACTCTAGCTCTGTCCAATTATCATTAGAGATTTTAATCTTTTCAAATTGCTACATACATTAACATTCAAGATGACACTGAAAGCAGCAATATGCCACTTGCACAATATGCAAGTAACAGTTCATGAGGTATCTCACACTGACAGCTGCACTACTGTACCCACAGCTCACAGCTTTGTCTTATACACAAGTTTTCCTTTTATTAAGGAAGTCTTAGAAATTATGTTACTAGTAAAAAAAACCCAACAAACAAACCAAGCCAGTTGAAGGACTAGTACTTGATGAATTCCACCACAAGAAGGAGGAGAAAAGATAAAGAAGCATTCTACCTTCCAGGCATAGTATTTTATTTCATGGAAGTCTTTAAAAAAGGTTGCCAACTGCATTGCTTTGAGTGCACTTCTGGCAATATTTTTGGGGTGGGACAGACCCCACGACTGCTGTGCTAACTCGACTTCTTTTTGTGTCCCATAAAGAAAACGTGCAGGTAGACAAACACCTGCAAATCCTCTGGGATTTGCTCCTACTATGCAAATTTGAACTTAAACACTTCAAGTACAATTTAACTGAAGAAAATGAGTTTTCCCCAGCCTGAAAGTACATTACTGGAACAGTCTCCCCAGGGCAGTGGTCACAGCATCACCAAGCCTGACAGAGTTCAAGAAGCATTTGGATGGCACTCTCAGGCACATGGTGTGACTCTTGGGGATGGTTCTGTGCAGGGCTAAGGGTTGATCCTTGTAGGTCCTTTCCAACTCAGCATATTCTAGGATTAGACAAAATGCTTTTTGCACATGCTCCTTTTGGCACAAAGAAACAGACTTTTCTGTACTGGCAAGAGCTTCAAAGCCTTGCAAATATTGACACACTAATCGAAATTACTCAATTACAGTCCCCACCTCATTAGCTTAAGAGATTTTTCTATTATTTCTATCAAGTAAAACTGGCTGTTACATCATCCAGAGAAAAATTACATCCATGATGAGGATTACCATTACTGCTCAGTTATCAAACTACTGAGATTGTATTAGCTTTGTGTTGGAAAACTGAAACAGGTATGTTGTACTGATAAAGAAGTTAAATCAATGTGGTCATGACAGTGGTATTCATTTAATATCAATCCTTGAAAATTCCCTTCAGTTTTGCTTTGCTTATCTCGATCTGCAACTCAGTTCCCTGTGCAATACCTCTGTAGAATGAAATAAAGGCATTTTCTCCCTGCAGTATCCTGAGGAACAACGGAAATGATGCAATGAAAAATCCGAGAACTGCATGCACATCTCCCACAGACATGCATCATGCACAGGGCAAAGGAAAAACCCAACAGTGAAAATGCGTGGGGAGGAGATGGGAATAAATCTAAAGTTGTACTGTACCACGCTTTATCACAGAAGTAATGGACTAACTTCTCAACTCCTTGCCAATGGCATAATGGGAAAGCAGAGACAAGAAAAAGACAAGGACAATGATGTCAGAGGACCAAGACAAAACAATGAGCAATTGCCATGACAGAACTGCAACTTTTCACCATTTCAATTGCAATTACCAGGTCCCCCCTCGGTTTTTAATCCTCCTTCAAGAAACAAAGGTAGCAATAGTTTAAGTAATGCAGTACAAATAATACTTATAGCAAGACCTGCATGGAATATCTTTGCTCTTATAACTTCAAGTTCTTTAACACAGTTAATCTCTTACACTCCAAATACTGTAACTAGAACTTGTGTGTATCCTTACAACTGTACACATCAGAAATATTTGCATCCATGCACATACCTGTTAGATATCTAACAATGAACAACAATGCCATAAGAATACTGCATTACATCCTTGGATCATGTTGCCCATACTGTTAATAACTCATCTTTCTACCGACTCACAAGTTGGAAGAGAGTCCCAACTCCCAGGGTTTCTTTTTGGAGAGGGGCAGGGCAGAAAGGACAAAAACAGTGCTACATAATTCTTTCATTTCTGCATCAGTTCTGACATCCCTCATCTCACTGCTTTGGCACAGGATAAGCTGTCATTTCAAATGAAGGCCTGTGCAGGCACAGCCCTACTGAAGAGCTGCATTGGAAAGCTCTCATTTTCTACCTCTGGAAAACGTCAAGATTTCACACCTTAAATCTGTAGCATTTGCCAATACCTTAATTTTCAACTTTTTTTTCCTCTCCCTTTTATGTAGCTATATTATATGTGTAGTTTAACATTGTAAAATAGGATTCTGCAGTAAGGAGTACGACTTCAAAGAATGATACAAACAACCCTAATATTTTTTTTAAACCACCACTCATCACATCATGAGAGTAGTAAAATAATCACTATTATGTCAAAGCATATTTTTTTCCGTGTAGTCTGTACAGAAATCCCAACTTAGAGAGAAAGACTTTCACAAAGAAAAATTACTCCAAGTAATATATAACTACATCAAGGCAAGTATTTCATCCATAATTACAGACACATTTGCAACAAGGAGACAAATACGACCATATG